TTTTGACATCTCACATGTTTGACAGATATGGTCGCCAAACCATATCCTAATGAGGACACAGATGGATATGGATTTGGTCTACTAATTTCGCCGGCGGTTGGCGACAAAACTGCGACATCTCGCAACCAAATTGTTTGCTGGGTATACATATATATATATACTACAAAACAATTTTACGCACTTGTATGTATTTGGCCAACAACATATATACACAAAAAGATAAATAGAATGCAAACATAAAAAAACGAAGTCACAGAGGCACATTATTGTAGGTAAAAAGATAAAATATAGAATTGCTAAGTACACGATTTGCAAATTTTTACAAATTTAAAAGAGTTAAATACATTCTTTTTTGCACTGTAACTTTCTCGTGGCTTATTTATTTTTTGTTTATAAAGGAACTGCAAAGAAAAAACCTGTGATATATTGTTCCGTACAAATATATTGTTTACGATAGTGTAATATTTGTTGTTTTGACATTATAGAGACTATAATATACGAATGTTATTTAGATCAACAAATAATAGTCGGTTCTTATTTGTTTAAAACTAACCCAGATAGCCAACTGAGTGCAAGTTGTTGGCAACTTGCCACAAATATTACTCATATGTTTTCAGCAATGTAACAAAAGGGTATATCCTCTTTTCAGTATGTTCTTGCCAACAAGTTTTCAAAATATAATAACAGCAAGTTCTCAACAACTCATCGGCAATAAACTTATATTATTTTTCTCAACTTATGAATAAAAATTATTGCTCATATATTGCTCACATATTGCTGACTCACATGTCATAAACATTGGCTACAACAATTAATTGATAATAAAACTCAGCATATTGATATTGAATTGACAAAAACATTTTCGTTGCGTTAAATAAAAACAACACAACAGCAATTGGCGAGCAACTTAATTTATATAATGATTTGCTTTATATTGAGTTTTCATATTTGGCTATCTGGGGTAAGCTTTACAAAAACTATCAGTAATACATGTAAATATTTATGTACATAGTTATTAAAAAAAAAAACATCACTATAACTTTTACAAACACTTGTATAACTTAGAAAAGACTAGAAAAAAAAATTGTATATATTAATATGCTAAAACTACTAAAATAAAAAATTTCTTTAAAGTGAGAAAGGCAATTTTGAGCAATATACAAAGTTTTAGTATCTGAATTTCTTTATTCTTAGACTGATATTATCTTTCAGACGTTTTGATCCAGTTTTAGATCTTCATCGGTGTAATAAAAAAATTTCGATTTTTTTCTTTTAACAGAAAATAGCTTATTGTTAAATTTGGAATACTAAGTAACTTAAAGTTATCGTAATAATTATACATACAGTAAAGAAACTTGAAAATTAACACTATATTACAATATAACACTTTTTGTTTTTTAGATAAAACTCCTGAAAATGTTGAACAAATTTCTTGATAGCATGTCAAATATACATAAAAATAATGTCAATAATGTCAATACTCAATTCTATCACGAAGGTTTAAAATGGATATGCATTCTTGATGATTTAAAGTGCAAAGAACATATTAATAGAATATTGAGTTGGCAGCTTACAACAAACAAGTACGTTATTCTCCTTTCTCATATAGCAACTTGACGTTCGTTGAAGTCACAAAAACGTTATCTCGCTACGGAACTTCTGTTCCATATAATTGTGACTCTAACATGAGATTTGACACATTACTTGATACTTTTTAAAATGTATGGATCAACACTAATGATAAATTAGTCTTTAAGTAAAATTATATATAATTAAATACACTAATATATTTTGTACTTGCAGACTTTTGCCAAGTTGGCAGAAGTGGATATATTGCCAAGGATTACTATTAAAACCTCTCGATTATGAAGATTTCGCTTTGTGGCACATAATATTAAATATATATCGCACACAAGGAAAACTAGAAGAATTCTTCGAACTCTTAACGTGTTTTAAACAATACGATGATTTAGTTTTTTTTCTCCGTTTCCTTGATAGTAACTCTTTACTAAGTACTATCGGGAATAAAAAGAAAAGTGTTGCTGTTAGTATACTTTTCAACATTTTTGCTTCGTATTCAAAAACTTCATTTGCGCTGACGAATATACTATTCGCAGTAGAAAATAATATAATAAGGTAAAATCATTTTTTTATATTTATAAAACTTTTCATACCATACGTATATATATTTTACGTTAACTGCATAGTTTTTATATAATCAATTTCTTATCAGAACAGTCATTTTTTCTCATGATATATTGTATAATGCATATTAGCAAGTTTATATACTACTTTTAAATCTGTTATTTGTTTTGATAGAAACGTGAATATTCTAGCAATAATAAACTGTATTATTAACAACATATATTCAAACCACGGCCTGTCCTTGGTATGTTATAAGATTTCACTTACTTTTTGTAGCTATATATGTCAAATAGAATTTCTTTGTAAGTTTAATATATGTATATGTATATTTATATGCATAAAAATGTATCGAGTTATATTGTGGTCTAGTTCCGTAAGTGCTTTTTGTGTACAAAAGAATATAATGTTAAATGGTATTACACAAAATAAGTAAATCACACAACGTCATGATAGGTCACATGATTTTTTTTCAGATTACTGACGAAATGTTCTTGAATACACTGCTGCATATACATCAACTGGTAAACGTATTTATACATTATTTAAAATATTATTTTAATATTGTTTTGGATTTGTGCGTAACTCTTTCTGTTTCTTCAGATACAACTTACTGTTTATATGTAAATTATTAGATGTTTATTATTTTTATTAAAAATATATCTCGTACCTCTTATAAAATTTAGTAACAATTACACAGGATTTTATTATACATATATTTTGTACTCTGTTTTAGAAACCATTTGTTCTTGACGCCATTAGAAAAAAAGCTAAATATCGTCGTACTTTTCTAGATACAATGCAAAATATACTTCGTTTAAATCCCCAGTATATGTTTAATTACAAACACACGAGTAAATAAACTTTTTTTAAGATAATGTACTTTTTGTATTTAAACAAAAATTTTTAATTGAAGAAATTTACCGATTTGTTGTGACCAAATCTTGTTTTTTTGTTTAAATAAGATTTATTTTATGATAACAAAATAGATTTATTAATTATAGCTAAAATCGGAAATATATGTTTCGGATTTTACTATTTAATAATTTGCAAACTGTTAATCATAAAATAAAGTTGTTTTTTCATTAATATACATTATTAATATTACGCGCCGATTTCTACGTACATGTATATTTAAGTATTGCCTACATTAATATAAATATATAGATCACATTAAATAAAATCAAAGTATCTAGATATAAGAATTTATACAATGTAAGAGAGAAAACTTGATATTACGAAATACCATTCAGTATTATATGTGAGAATATATGTTAATTAATTATCAAAATGTGTAAAATGTTAAATGATAAATGTTAAGGTAGAATTTATTATGTTTGTTTAAAAATCAGATATTCTAATTAATTCTAATAAAAATATAATTTTTACTAAAATTGTTTTAGTATTTTTTAATGTTTTCTTAGTTTTTTAAACTATGCACTTAATTTTCATAAGTTTACGCGTAGACACATTTATATGCATTTGCGTTTCGCGACCTTCGTAAAACAACGATCTTTAGATGTTCATCACAATCGCAATTGGTTTTCGTATATTTATCGGTTTGATTCATATTTGTAAGCAGCATCACTTAAAAGCGACGATGTAATTACGTTAGTTTGAGAAAGTAATGTAACACAATTTTTAGCGGAGATAAGCCAGAGAATGACTATCTTATTGTAACTATTCTTACGGCCACAGTACGAATTTTTGCATAGGTACTGCACAACGCATAAGAAAATGAATCAAGGGCCTTCTACAATAAGATATTAGTAATAAATCAGAAGTCAGAAGCAAGAAATTGACACAGTAAAATCACAGAAAAATAATCGATGATGATTAGTCAATTTCTTGCTTCTGACTTCTGAATTATTATTAATATCTTATTGTAGAAGGCCCTTCGGAGTCTTCCGCTTTTATATCTTGTTCTTGAAAATTCTGATTGGTTGATTCTTTTATGCAGTATGCAAAAGTACCATGTGTTCCGGCCTGTACAATTATTTCACATTTAAAAAATTGATTATTCAGGAAAAGAAGTAACAGAATCGAAACAGAAAGTTACACCATAATTTATTTTACGCGTGAGCAAATAAGAAAATTATCTAAGAAAAAAACACTTTATGTTTTTTTTGTGCAATTAAATAATAGGAACGTAAAATAATGACGAAGTCATTTACACTTTTTACTCAATGTGTTGGCATATATTTGATGTAATTTTGCTTTTTTTGCTTTTTACAAAATGCTTTTTATTTGTTTCAAGCTTTTCATTTTGGTTTTTTTCGAAATTCTGCATTTCTGCCAGACATGTGTGAAATAGTAAGATGTATGTTGTGTGTGTGTGTTGTTTATACGTAGTTATACTGGTACTATATACAAGGCAAATTCTCTAATTTGTCTATTTTTATAGATATCATATATATTTTAATATATCGCTCATATCTCTGCTCGAACAACCACCATAAGTGTTATCGAACTTCCATCGGTGAACACTTATGTTTGGTGGGTGTTTCACTCTGCACCTATGGTGTCCTTGTGTTGATATCATGGGTGTATTGTAACAACTATGGAGGAGGCACGAACTATCATAGGTATGTTTCTGTGTAACTATGAGCGTGTCAGAAAGTACCGTATCACGGGTGTGTGTGTCTGTACTAATCATGGGTGTCAGAAACTACCGTAAGAATATCGGTGCAACCATGAGTGAATCTGAAAGTATCATGGGGTGCGTATTTTTGATGAGCCACATGACTACAAGAATGTGTATACCTGGACTGGTCTTCGAAAGAATATCATGATGTCTTAGTAATACTAGAGAGTACCCTGAGTGCATTAGAGGGCCCATAAGAGTTTTTGGAATCGCTTTTCCACCCCTTAAGCTAGCGCATCTCTATGGGTGATGCACAGTAGCAATGTCTACGAGCGGTCTGTCAATACGAATACGTACGCTATGTACAAACGTGGACATGATTTTATTCCGTTCTATGTCCACGACCGTGCAGTTCTATTTCACTGCTATGTACACAAGTTCAAGCGTCATGTTGAGAAAGATCGAGCAGCCCTGCCAGTACCGAGAGCACCGAGGTGGTAAAGGTATGTATACAAGCGAGAACCGCCGTCCGTGTGCGCTCGCGGAAGAATACTATGTTTCGTCTGTTTTACACCAAGCCAGCTGTAAGTCTATAAGACGAAACACGAAACACGTTTACCTTGCGCGTTTGTTACGTATGACAATGTGAACTGCTTTCTCTACATTTTTAGTCTTAAAAAAAAGTACATAATATTATTAATAATATTAAAACACATTAGAATGCAGTTTTCTATTAATTATTCTAATATAAGATAATATATAAGATAATTTTCACAATTTGAAATATTCATCATCTAATGAACAACAACATCTAATACATATATATACATAATATATATTAATTATTAGTTTACACTTGTATATGTTTTTAATTTATAAATTACGAAAAGAATTTACATATTATAAATACATAATTTTACGGTATTTAATTTATATTATATGAATTAATAAATTAATATATTTATATAATATAATATATGAATCAATTACTTTAATATACTTTATATGTATTAAATGTTTTTTAGTATTCCAAGGAATGCGAATTATTACAAGTAACTTCTATTTATCATTAATAAAAGTAAATAACGCATCTTGAAATGTTTTACTATTATGAATATTATTATATATGTTTCGAGACTGTAAATTGCAAGAAAGAGTATAAACATTATATATGCTTCTTTGGGAAAAAAATGGAGTAAATATGGATAAAAACGGAGCACCCTCAGAGATCATTGTCCTTGACATATGTTATCAATAGTGGCGCTCAAAATTTACTACAATTATTAGACAAAGATATAGTTGAAAAACAAATAATTTTAATGTGCAACAATAAATACAAATATTGAAAGTCAACATTGTAAGTAATATTAAATAAATAATGTTAAATTCTGTTATCACACAATTTATTGTCCTTAAAATAGTATAAGTTTTGTATAAAAGGTTCGCACTGTATCACTTGGGCTCATGTTGTTCCATACGTATCTAATACTTACATTAAGATAATTTGCAGTGATAAATTTTAACAATAAATTTACATGATTTTCTAATGGGTAATTGTCTGGTATATGACTCTGCAATTTTTCACATTTGATTACATGCAAAACTTCCACCATTATACGTATTACTTTTTCCTTTTTTTATAGTTCTTTTGTATAAGTTTTGTTGATCGAAATAGTTCCTGCTGTCACACCACAAGCTTGACAGTACATAATTTCTTATGTTTTGCGATACAACACTTTTTCATTTATAATAATTTCTATGGTTTGTTGCACAAGTTGCACACAGAATATGTCTAGACATGTCAAGCGTACGCTTGAGCATTTTTTCGATACCCTTTCTCTTTCAAAAAATGGTCGTTCAAAATGGTTTTCATGACGTACATCCGTCCCCGGATTTGCCTATCTGCATTACCGATACGTTCCCTCTTGTTTCTTTTTACTCAATGATCATTCTGTCCTTTTACGTCATTCCGCCATAAATTTTACCGCTGTAATTCGGAAATAAACAAAGGCAATGCGAATTCGATACGCGAATATTGTCTACTGTCTTCATATACAAAATGATTTATTTTAATCGCTTCAGGCGAATGTCATTGAAGCTAAGAAAAACAGACAAAAATTCGAATTAGATTAATCTTATAAATATGCAAAATTAATTATTTGTCGTACCTTTATCACTCATATTGCAACTTTTAAACGTTACTTTTGTTTATCCTCAAACGCTCTCGCTGTTTGCAAATTGTTTATCACGCATCTTCGTGCAGTATAATTTGTATATGTTTATTTTAACGACTCTTAATAAAAGAAACTCTTGACAATTGTATTACTGCTATGTACGTAATGAATATATTGTCTTCTATATTTTTTACAGGTACTAACGCTCAACGTTTATTATTTATTTTTCAACTTATATCTCATAATAATAGTAACCATAATGCGCTTTTGAAATAATAGATCTATGTTCCGCTATTCGAAATACTAAATCTATGTTCAGAACACATCAACAACATTCTAGTAACTCCGGTGACTGACAAACTCGTAAAATATATTTCTCAAAGAAAAAGTAATTAAAAATACAATATTCGCATCGAGCGTGACGTCATGCAAGGAACCGCGTACGTCTACGTGAACCAAAAAAAATAAAATCTAGATTGTAGAACATTTTCAAATGCAGTTCCGAATTCCGCATATTTTTTCTGCAAAAATTCTTTCAATTTTTATCATTGGAAGAATACCACATTTAATATATATTTTAAAGCTTGTGAATTAATTACATTGTTTCAAATGTAGACTCCGACAAGAACAATCTCATTATTGAATACATTTTGTATTTAAAATTATATTTTGTATTTA